CAAGTTCACTTGCTTCTTGCTCACCTTTTCCTAGATACCTGTTAATAACAGCAACAGAAAAATCAACACATCTCCCCCTCACAAACACCTTACTAAACTCCTTACTTCTTTTGTCAGCAATGTCCTCAGGGATGTTCACAATGAAATCCTTGACCAGCATATCATAACACTTAGAAAAACCAGCCACAATCTTCATCAACCCGACATCAGAAATTAACTCCATGATATCCTTTATCTCAAAAGCATCATTGCCCAACTCTCTCTCTCTCTCTCTCAAGAGCAACTCTTATTTGGTACACATACTTCCACTTTGAAACATTATCAATAGAGTGGAAAGAAACTTTATTTAAAGGAGCATCAGACACTATGTCAGTTGGTCTTTTGGAAGCAGACTTTCTGATAGGTGTGATGTCCTGGACATCATCCTCAACATCCTCTTCAGACTCAATATTAGACCTAGCCTTTCTCTTCTTAGAAGTAGGGGTAACTTTGCTCCATGTTTTAGGAGGTCCAACAACAGTTTTCTTCTTACTACTCCTAGAAGGAGAGTTATTAATCAAAGATTTGCCTCTCCTTATCTTCAACCTCTTGGCAATCCCAGGAGCCATATTCACAATCAATTCATCATCAGATGTCAAATTATCGAGATCCACAACATCATCAGAGACATTATCCTTTTTCTTACTCTGATCAGAACCACCAGTCTTGCTCTCCACACTAGATATATCAGCACCAACATCAGCATCACCTTCAATCCTCCCTTCCTTAAGCATAAAGTTAGCCAACTTGTGCATGTTATCAGTATCAGTGCTCTTCTCAGAATGAGAACAATCAACATCTCTTTCCTTACTTTGGTTAGCATCAGAACTGGGAATAACATCCATTCGAGAAAGCGGGGTAGAAATCCCAGAAACATTGTGAACTCCATATAAAACCTTAGTAACCAACTTTCTAATGGCTCTATCAACATACAGACTACCCTATTTGGTCTTATTTTTAGAGGATGAATCAAGAGGAGTATTAGAAGTGTTACCTATAGGAGCACGTTTGGAACCGCTTACACGTGAGGTTGTAGACTTTGTCAACTCAGCGTCGTCACAGGGAACCACGGCTAGTGGAACCACATCTATCACATCATCAAAAGAGACGCTCACAGGGTGAGCCGTTGTCTTTGATTCCGACCTAGCAGACTTGGAAGGAGTTGAACCATATTGTTGAGACATCTTGAGATTTTTGTGTATGGAACAATGGTGTTCAAGCAAAAGTTTTGTGAGAGTATGGGAGATGAAAGAGCAATTAGAATGATAAGTGAGGTTAGGGTAGCGTGTGAAAATATCTTTTAAGGTATTTTGAAATGATTGCATTAGGCTAGTTTGAAATGATAAGTGCTGTTAAGACATCTTTATTTTTGGAAATACAAAACCTCTTGAATGATATTTTCACTCAGCAATAATTGCTACAAATATTCATAAATGCAAATCCCTAATTTGCCTCTTAAAATTTCAAATTGACTAGCATCCAATGCCTTAGTGAGGATGTCAGCTAGCTGCTTCTCTATAGCAACATGTTCTAAGGCAATGATCTTATCTTCAACAAGCTCCCTTATTAAGTGATGGTGAATATCAATATGCTTGGTCCTACTGTGTTGAATAGGATTTTTGGAGATTTTTATAGCACTTAAATTGTCACAATACAATGTCATGACATCCTGTGTGACATTATATTCAGTCAGCATTTGTTTCATCCACACCAGTTGAGAACAACTACTTCCAGTTGCTATATACTCAGCTTCAGCAGTAGATAGAGAGACACAATTTTTCTTCTTGCTGGACCATGATATAAGATTGTTCCCCAAAAAGAAGCAACCTCCTGATGTGCTTTTCCTATCATCAGCACTTCCAGCCAATGAGCATCACAATACCCAGATAACACATTGCCAGATCCATGAGTGTATAACATTCCATACTCACTTGTTCCATTAACATACTTTAGAATCCTCTTTACTTGATTGATATGACTCACTTTGGGTTCAGCTTGGTATCTAGCACACACACCTACATCAAAAGCAATGTCAGACCTACTTGCTGTAAGATATAACAAGCTCCCTATCATACTTCTATAGAGACTTTGATCCATATTTACACCCTTTTCATCCTTAGACAACATAAGATGAGTAGGAGCAGGTGTTCTTTTGTGACTGGCATTCTCCATCCCAAACTTCTTAACTATATTCTTGGCATATTTACTCTGAGATATGAATATAGAATCTTCCATCTGTTTAACTTGCAACCTAAGAAAATAGGTTAATTCACCAACAAGGCTCATTTCAAATTCTGACTATATTTGCTGGACAAAATATTGAACCATCTCATCAGACATCCCGCCAAACATAATATCATCAACATAGATTTGAGCAATCATGAGCTTTCCTCATTCTTCTTTTATAAACAAAGTCTTATCTATACCACCTTTTCTGTATCCATTATCAACAAGAAATTCTATTAGTCTCTCATACCAAGCTCTTGGAGCTTGTTTTAGTCCATACAAAGCTTTCTTCAACTTATAAACATGATTGGGAAAATTTGGATCAATGAATCCATTAGGTTGTTCCATATAGACCTCTTCATTTAGGTATCAATTTAAGAAGGCACTTTTAACATCCATTTGAAGTAGCTTGAATCTTAGAATGCAGGCAACTCCCAAAAGTAATATGATGGATTCAAGGTGAGCTACAGGAGCAAAAGTTTCATCAAAGTCAACCCCTTCAATCTGAGTGTATCCCTAAGCAGCCAATCTGGCTTTATTTCAGGTGACCACCCCCTTTTTCATCAGGCTTGTTCTTGTATACCCATTTTGTTCCAATCAAATTTGTTCCTTTAGGCCTTGGAACAAGATCCGATACTTCATTTCTCTTGAATTGCCCTAGCTCTTCTTGCATGGCATTGATCTACAATTCATCAGTTAAGGCTTCCTTGACATTCTTTGGTTCAATTTTATACACAAAATAAGAACTTGTTATGACTTCTCGGGATCTAGTAGTGACTCCCTTATTTAGATCACCTATGATAAGATCCATAGGATGGTCTTTCTGAATTCTGGTAGAGGGTCCCTTGTTTACTAGTTCAGGTTCAGGTTCTGCATTAGTAGGATTGGGATCAATGTTTTTGTCTGCAGACTCTACTGAGATATCAAGGAATGTTCCAACATCTTCTAGGACATCAGCCTCCTTATGCACATCATCAACAACAACATTGATGGACTCCATCATAGATTTAGTTCTGGAGTTGAATACTCTATAGGCTCTACTGTTAGTGGAATAGCCCAAAAATATTCCTTCATCACTTTTTGGATCTATCTCTCTTTTTTGGTCACGATCTGCCAATATGTAGCATTTGCATCCAAACACATGGAAGTATTTGACAGTAGGCTTTCTTCCCTTCCATATCTCATACAAGGTAGTCATGCACTACAAGAAAATTGGCAAATTGCGACGGTTCATTTTGACATATTACGACGGTTTTAACCATCGCAATTTGTAAGTTACGACGGTTTCAACCCCGTCGCAGAAACGTGCGTCGTGAGGCCATATTGCGACGGTTGTGAAAACTGTCGTACAAACCATCGTTATTTTCACGACGGGTAGCTAACTGTCGTAATCTCCATATTGTGACGGTTTTCAACCGTCGTAATTATATTTACTAATTCTAAATATTATTTATGCTAGTTGCGACGGTTTAAACCGTCGTAATTTTATCTATAGAATTTTTTTTATAATATTCTATTTTTATTTAAATTACTTTCATCTCATTTTTTTTATAATAGTTTTTTTAATTTAAACTATTATTGTTTTTTTGGTAATATATCAAATATATAAAACTCACGTATATCAAATATATAAAGACTCACATATAACAAATATATAAATTAATATAACTTAAAAACCAATTGATATTTCATTATATCACTTTTTTAAATAACTTATTATATTTTCTACTAAATATATACTTATGAATATCTAAATGATCAAATGTCATAATCTATAACTTGATATATACAATATAATCAATATAATTGTACAACCTATGATGATCCAAGATATTCTGCCCAATTTTCCACACCAAGTGATGATCCAAGATTTTCTACCGATGACTGAAGAATTCTTTGGTATGATTTTGCCTTAGAGGATAGACATGAACATCTACAAAAGCTTAAAAATTACTTCAAGCTAACACCAATAAAGAGAATCACTTGTGGTCTTCTAGTATCATCATGAGCCCTTCATAATCAGTTTTGTAGTCTTCTAGTTGCTTCTAATCTTTTGACTTCACCAACACGCTCTTCCAAAAGCAAAACTTCCTCAGGTTGTGTATGGTATTCTAGTAGTTTTTTGTCTGAAAAACACTTGTATTTGTTAAGAATAAGAATAAGAATGTTTTACTCCTTCAAATGTCACATCAAAGACTAACAGTGTCATTAGAAAACAGAACAAAAAGTAAACCATAAAGACTTCATGTCAGTCTTATAGGTAACTATAGAGAGCTTATTGAATAAAACTCTAATAGAACTTACTGAATAAAGAGCTTACTAAAAGAAACTTAAACCAAAAGAAACCCAAATAGCTGTTTAAATTAAAATAGATTCAATTATTAATGAACAACATAGTACATCATTATTTGTCAGCCCATGTAAACCTGGTGAATAAGCTTTTCAGTTTGAGATAAAAATAATGTATTCCATAGTTAAATTACTGATGGCTTGTCTAGCTATCTTATTCTTTGCTAAGGCAGTGGTGTGGCACCCTCGTAATTTATGGAAAGAAGCTTAAAGCTAGATGAATAAGGTTTTCAGTTTGAGATAAAAAATAATGTATTCCACAGTTAAATTACTGATGGCTTGTCTAGCTATCTTATTCTTTGCTAAGGCAGTGGCGTGGCACCCTCGTAATTTATGGAAAGAAGCTTAAAGCTAGATGTTATTTTATACATTTACCAAGAGTAGGGTCATAATATTACCTCCGGTAGTTTTGAATATTTAGTCAGGAAGTACGAGATTACATTTTCTTTCAACTGCTTATCATCCAATTCTACGGCCGAAAGTGACTCAATAGCAGCAACCTCATCTTCTTGAGATCCATAGATTATCTTCTCTGATTCTATATTAACAGCCTGCAGCCTGACATCATCGACCAACTCAAGAAAAGGATCTACCTGTGGGTTTTTAACACTGATTAATTTACCTAATTAAAATTTAAAATTATGAAGAAAAAAAAGGCAAACAGACAAAGACAGTAGGTAATGCAAATCAATCTTTAAAAGGAAGCTCAATAGCAAGGGCATGAAATGGGGATTGAAAGAGGTTAGGGGAAGAAACTAATAGTTGAATGTATCAGGGATGCTTTAACTATTGGAATTAGCTCAGGGAAATTGCCTGTCCTGGCAGAGAATATAAGCATGTACGATGCCAAAGTAAAAAGAGACCTCCTGCGAGATGGCTGCAAACCTCCTTTAACAAGCATGCAGAGAATGAACATGTCAGAAACTTGGCATCAGAAAAGTGTTAATCCAACAACTTCACAACATAATGGAAAAAATTATAGCATGCATAGATAGACGTACATACACCGTTCTACAATAATAAACCATGAAATTTGTAGATCAATAATGTGGATTTGTACTTGTTTTCTAAAGTAAAACAAAGTCAACAAATTTCCCAAAAGATTTTTAACTAGGCTAGTTGGAAAGTAGAAAGTTGGTTATATTTGGTTAGAACTTAGAACCACACATTCTACAATAATTTGTTATGCAAGCAGAAGATTTACAGTATTGCTCAGAAACGAATAGGTTAACATTGAAATAAATTATAAAATGTAATGTAGCATGTATAAAAATTTGCAATTGCTCAAAAATGTCGAGAGGTGCTTATGAGGCTCCTAGGACGCAGAAGATTAGATGCAGGGAGTGGTTGGGGCTTACTCAATATTACACCTTAAAATAGGTGTTTGATAACTATTCCAATTCAAGTTGATTTAGAAAAAAAGTGGACAAGAAAGGAAACACATCAAGATGATAAGATAAAAGATCACTTACATGTTCAACTTACCTTCTTGGTCCAATGAGATGCTCATGAGGGAGAATGCCAGTTGGAAACATCTTACTAAAGCCATGTAACTGGATGTCTGTTTAAAGCAATTTAAACCATCATGGACTTAGACAGGTTATCAGGAGTGATAAAAGAAAAATATGAAAATAAGGTTATTTTTTTTAAAGAAAACTGTTAGGAGAATTGAGAGAAAACCATAACATTTGAATCTCATAAGTCAAGTAACAGAACTGCAGGTGGTTTAAACTATGCATCCTATGCACTAGCATTATTCATTCTTGAAAGGTTAAAGCAGTTAGAATACTATGCAGCACTAAATACTAGTGCCAATTTCATACCAAATTGAAATACTCATTTATAGTGGTTCTTCTGATACAAGAATGACCTAGTTGCCTGATTAAGTTTAAGTTCAACAAAGTAGACTTAAATTGTCTGAATTAAAATCATAATATGTCGAAATGGCACTCATAAAGAATAGGAATTATGCTGCTTTATATCAACACGCATAAGAGTAAGAAATGATAGTACATTTATAAGTGTAAATTGACATGGAGTGATACGGTGGTTTGGGGAGGAGGAACATAACGGTTAGAGAGATAAGGGGTCGTGCAATCTATTCCCCCGCTAACATTTTCCATTCAAAGTAATTAATAAATGTAAGCAGATAATTAAGAATGTATAATTAGCAACTATTAAAAATGAACAGCATTAAAAAACAGTGTTGCATTCTTCCGGGCAAGATCTTGATTACACTCAATGAGTTGGAGAGCCAACTCAACTACGTGATAAATGACATCAGAAGGAAGAGCGCAAACCCGTTCCATTATCCCCTGAAATAATCATCTATAGTCAAAATAATGTAATAGCATTGTAGGAAGATTAATTACAAGGAAAATGTACATAAAGTTTTGGAGTATAATCGCTATTACACATCTCACATCACGATTATGATAATTTTTGCGATGAATACCTGAAGGGAACCAATAGTAAATAGACAAGAAGAAAGGCCAAAGAATGTTTGAGCCATTCTAGGTGCAGCAAGCAGCTTTTGCAGAACTGATTCTAACTACACATGTTCTACCATCAAAGCTGTTTTGAGACAATTCACTTAGGCTGCAACCTATTTGACCAAGTCCAAATGATTCCATTTCCTTGCTCCATATTAATATAGAATCTGAATCACAAACAAAAAAATTGAGAGTGAGATTATAACAAATTATTACTACACAATGAAAAAGAAAACAAGGAGTAACTAACCCTGAGTTGTTGAGCATATGCTTGAAGAAGAACATTAGCATATTGTTGTGCTATGAATTGTCTACTGCTAGAATAGATTTGAGGAATGAAATAGTTGTTAAGGTAATCATTACTTCGCAATACAATTGTCTAAATGCATTTGCTTAGATAATTTTCAATTGTATTCTCATCTCCAAAACTATTTACTAACTCAGACATTGTCCTTTGGTAATTTTGCACTTGACCTCTAAAACTAATTCTTTGTCCCTTCAAATTCGAAACAAATTTGTTAGAAAAAATGATAAAAATAATCATATAATGTGACATTAGAATCAACTAAGTACTAATTGTTGTCCAGTTTCCTCTCTAATTCTAGCAGCTGCGGAAGCATAGTTGACTCCTCTAAGTATGTCTTGACTTCTAGCGGATGCATACGAAGATATTTAACCATTGAATCCCAATTGCTCAGCTGTTAGACAAGACAATCTACAAAATTATAGAAACGATTGAGCATAATAAATAAAGCTAAAAAAAGTGTTCTTTGTACAACCATACAAAACCACTATCACCAAGAAAAATGGATAATGATAAAACACCATGAGCAATGGTACTTGCGCGAGCCTGCCTTCACAAACCAACAAAACTGTATAGGTGGTTCCATCTGAATTCAAGTGGCCACACCTGAACTGTTTTCTTCTAACCAAGAAAACTGTCCACAGCTTGTGCAGGGTTGTGAAAGCAAGGATTCTGCTACTAAGTGTCGCTTGTGCGAAAATAAGGTGCCGGCATGACAGAAGAGTCACCACCTTTCGTTATTTATCCCTCAGAGCGGGAAAGGAAACGATCGGAAAAACCTGACGAAAAAGGGTAAGACAAGGTCGTCGCAACCATTGTCTGGGTTCGGGAGTCGGTTACGCAAGGGGAAGGTATTAGCACCCCTCACGTCCGTCGTACTCGACGGGATCCTCGCTTGTTTGTTTACTTGGACGGGTTGGTTATAATCTATCTACCTATCAAGGCTGGCTGAAAAAGGAAAGAAAAATGACTCGGCAAAGCGTCGCACTTTATGCCTACGTATTCTCATCAGAGAATGAGAAATCAGAGTCAACGTAGTTCGCCCTACGAAGGGTTACGGGGGAAGGTAGCTCGCCAAGACATCGCCATCTTGTGCCTACGTACTCTCAACAGGCATGAGAGATCAGAGCAAACGTAGTTCGGGAAACTACAACTTATTTCCTAAAAGAAGTGTTTTTTATTGTATTTGCGATTTCAACCGCACTAGAGACTATGACCTGAGAGTGAATGCGTCGCATGTCACCCAAAGGGTACCATACTAAACATCCAGACTGTGGAAAAGAAACTCTCCCACAATCCTTTCTCAGATAGCTTAAGGCTCGTAACGTACGAAAGAAATCATTCATGATTACTGTATCTTAAACTGTTTTGAGATGAGAAGAGAACAGGCCCAACTATGAGGGAGACTATCAAGTCCTACTGTTATCATGCCGTGGATTCATCCTATGGTTGAGGTTTGAACAGGGAACTCCTAGATGTTGTCATGCATAGGTTTCAACCTAAGATTCTATCATCAAATCCTTATCAAAGGAAATGAGAGTCCTAAGGGATCATGTCAATGATACACCAAAACAGACAAAAGCATCAGCTTTAGCAGTAAAATGCATACAATGCAAGTGAGGGAGGAAATGTGTGTGGGGCTTCAGCCTCCACAAGCTCGTCTCGACCTCAAGCCAGTCATGAAATAACAGTAATCATACTGAAAAATAAACAACATGCTATCAAGCACTAAATAGTAAACTGCAATCATACAGATAAAAGAGAATATGCTATCAAGCAAAATAAACACATGGGCAAGGGAGCTGGGCTCTACCGAATACCCGCAAGCAAAGCCAAGCAATAACAATACAAGCAGAGGGAGCAACTCAACCTCTAATGCAATCATGCTCTTACACTGAACTTATTCTAGATGAACTTAGTCTAATGCAACAGACAAATCAGACAAAACAAACAATACAAAAAAGGAAAACAGAAGAAAGCCTCAGCTCCTCCAGCAGCTACTCAGTCTTCAGACTTCAGAGATCACTTGCTTTCCAGGTATCAACCCTACAATATGAGTATCAACTCATCTTCTCCCTTAAGCTTCAGCTTCTTTGATCAGCTCCACTTTCAGGCTTCACTGTCTTCAGGGATCTTCAACTTGATCTTCACAAAGTCTTCAGACTTCAACAATCTTCAAGGAATCATCCTCTTCAAAGCTTCAACTTCTATCTTCAATGGCTCAAATGCTCCAGCAAACAAGATTCAGTCAACAAGATGAGGTAAAGATGTTACAGTGCTCACTGACTTCCAAAGGATGCCATTGAGGACTTAACATCAAAAGAAAGCTCTCTCAAAGTTCTACCTCAGAGGGCAAGGTCACTAATCCCTCCAAAGGAGAGAGGTAAATACCCTTAAGGGACTCTATGTCACAGAGAAGGAAGGAGGCGGACAAAACACTCCTTGTTTATTGAATGGAATCATTCTATCTAAGGCTCTACCTATGTACTTATAAACCTATAAACAAACAAACAAAAGCTAGCTAAACTCCTCTGCAAGGTCTTCAAAGCTTCAATGATGATCCACAAGGTCTTCAACTCAATCTTCAAAGCTCACACACTCAAAAGAGAAGAAAAGAAAACAATACAATACAAACTATGCCTTTAAGCAACACACATACTATCCATACATTCAAAAATCAATTAAAAATACTAAAACACCATACAATATTCTAGCAAAATTCTAGGGGATTCTATACATACTTACCCTTAACCCATATATTCCCCATACACTAATTTGGCCTATAAACCCCAAAACAAAATGGTTCAAATCTACTTATACAACCTAAAACCCTAATTTGAGCACCTAAATGTCAAACAATCAAACTACATCAAATTTTAATCTACAAATTGAGAATTAAATCCTACATGAACTAGGGTCCAATACCTAACTATGCCAAAAATAATGGCTCAAAAATCCTAAGGGAAAGTCCTAAAACAAATTGTACAAAATCAAGTATCAAACAAAATTAATTAAAAATACTATTTACAAGAAAATATGCTAAAAAAAATTAAAAGAAAAATAAAATGGAATTTTATTTTTTATTAATTTTCTAGACAAAATCATGAATATGTGAAAAAAAGAAGAAATGAAAAATATTGATTTTTATATTTTCTATGAATTTTTGAATATGCAAAGAATTAAAAGAAATTAAAATAAAAGAATATAAGAAATAAAGGGGAGGGGGTATCAAAAGTAACACGCCCCAGTTTATATGTGAGATGGGCCAAATCAGAGGGGTGTGGATAGAAACCATTTGCTGAGGCCCAGGTTTATCAATTAACTCAAACGGTGCGTTTGGATTAGTGGTACGCAGCGTTTCATACGCTTCAGACTCCCTCCATTTTTGAGATTGAATTGGAGCCGTGCGATCATGCGAAGAAGTCAAGGATCTGGGACCATCCAACGGCGGGACTTCATCGTCCCCAAACAAACCCTAGGGTTTGCAGAAACCCTAACTCCATGCAAGGATCTTCTTCAAGCTCGTTCTCCTCCATTTCTCCATGAATTCACGAGCTTCCAAAAGCAAAGTTGTGCTACTGAATACCATGAACACAATGATACCAATAATTGTCCCTGAAACCTCTTGTATCGTTCCAACAGAAAGCTCCATCATCATGGTTCCACCATTTCCCTCTGATAGCAATCTTAATGGAACTTCAAACTAATGATCCAAAATTGTTCTACATGTTTCCCTAACCAAACTACACAATA